AAAAAGGCCCCAAAAATTTTAAAAATCGTACATAAAATAGACCCAAATTTCACCATCATCCGATTTCACGATCATCCATGACAATAAATTTAAAAAAAAATTTTAAAAGTTAAAAATTAAAAAATTACAAAAATATTAAAAAAAATAATGCATACCCATTATAATGTTCATAAGCAAAACACCAGAACAAATACCACGGGCAATAATCTATCATGCATTCCTGTAAATGTTTGTGCAAATGCATATTAGGAGAACAGAAATTTCTACCATAAATTTGTTCAGCATATTGTAAGAATGCCATCATAGCCGCATGGCCAGCTTCAATTTCAACTTCTGTTATAATTCTCTGGCTCCATATTGATACTGCAGTAACAAATGCTTGCCAACATCGTCGATCAGCCTCATCAAGAAATTGATATAAAACATATATTGAATAAACCAGAACCCAAATTTTCCATTGATCAGCTGTAAGTGTATCAAAACCTGAAGCAATTTTAAAGTTTATATATCCCATATCAACTGGTAAAGGAGTTGAATCAATTCGATTCTGAATTTTACGCAATTGTTTGATACCAAGTTTCGGTAAATTGTCATTCATCCATACATGTTGTACTATGCGCTTACTTGTACCTAAGAATATATTGTGCATAGGATCAATCGTAGTAAATCTAGGAATATCAATATATGGTAATTCCAAAAGACAAGTCCATCAGATTCCATGTTGCTGAAATAATTTTTTTTGTGTTGTTGAGTCACTAAAATTTTACAGTTCAAGAGGCGTTAGATTTTCATGCAATGTCTGGTGGATTAATCGATCATATTGTAACTGGCTCAGAACGGTTTCCTGGTCATTTTATTGGGTCATTTCATGATATTACCTTATCATCTGAAATTATTAAATTTCTTGTTCAGTATTATTCAGAAATTTATCCAAATTATGACTTTTATGATGACAATCAATTACCAAAATCAGAAAAATCAACTCTTGTATCTTCAACAGCTCGTCGGGCAACAGCTCTCAAACTTGGAGATAAAAAATATGATCTTTTTTTTTGCGCTCTGATTTGAATTCGTATGTACTTGCACGTTGGCAGCTAGAAAATGAGATAGTTAATTGGCCAGGGATAATTAAATTTTTTATTGAATATCGGGTATCTTTACCAAATTCAAAAACTCCAACTAGCCATTATCTTGCTATAGTTGATTGGTATAGAAGAGATCCACAAAAACAAGGTTATTTTTATGTAAAATCACGTGAAAAAATATTCAAAAATATATTGTCTACAAATGCCGATGGAACTTACTATGCAGAATTGTGGGAAGACCGATTCGTTGAGAGAGGAATTGTAACGATCTTACCAATTCAAAGGATTATTGGTCGATTTGTTAAGAGCAATGGAATCACGTTACCTGGAAGTAAAAAAAAATTTGTCGTTATTATACCATTAAACTGAAAATTTTCAGTATAATAGTAAGTATTAATTGTATTTATTTTTATACATAAATAAGATAATAAATTACTGATTAAAAGTTTGATATTATTTTATCAGCTCCGAACTTATATATATATTAGTTTACATCTTATCCATAATTACTATTTTTTAGTCATACCAAAAAATTTCTTTCATGGCAAAGGCTAATTTAAACACCCTTTCAACAAGTATTGCTAGTTTAACTCAAAGCGTAAATGAAATGAAAACTATTTTAAATTCTTCAGATATGAAAAGTCAACTTGAGATAACAAAAAATTCAATCGATTCTTTAAAACGTCGATTTGATATTTATGAACAAAACCAGAATGAGTTTGTAACTACTATACAACATATTAGTAGTGAGCATGGAATTAAAATACAACGCCTTGAAGATACATTAATGACCGCAACTACTACATTAGAAAATTTATTAACTTCTACTTCAGCACTTCAAGATACTACGAACAATATGTTATCCCATATTCAGAGTCATGACAATAATATTTCAAGTACAGTCAACCCTCTCTAAATGCATGACGTCGGGACCATAGTAAAAAATTTTAAAAATATGCATTTAGAGAGGT